AGAATTATTAAGATATCAGTTAGTGGATCATTGAATAATCAGTTAATAATCATTATCTTGGTTATCAGATTAACCATTAATATCAACATTAAAAAATTTCTTTATTGAATATCACTGACATGCAATATGATAAACGAACTCTAATAGAATATTCCAAAAATTATTAAGTAATTTACGCCTAAAAATCAAGTTTCATTAAGTTTAATATGATCTACTTATTTAAAATAAATATTATTAATAACAAAGTGCAAACAATATTAGAAAGATTAATTGCAAGTAGAAAATAACAAGCATAACATTTTATTTTTTTTGGTAAAAACAGGGATATTTTATATATATTAAGGCATTACAAAGGAAGTAGTAGCTATAATATTAGCATCTCTATGAGGTATAATATTAGCATTACTATCAGTAGCTATGATATTAGGAGCTCTATGAGCTATAATATTAGCATCACTACTAGATACATCAAAAAGAACATTTAGGTTCCCCAGCATAGATAGTTTGGAACATGTAGCCAGTGACATTCTTCTGGTAATTGCCACTCCATCTTTGTCAGCTTGCAAAATAGATCTGGCGTCTGCTGGAGTTGCTGCCAGGATGGGAGAATTATTATTCATACTTAATATACTTCCTTCCTTTGCTAAAAAGTCTGCTAGTCTATTCCCTTGCCGGATATTGTGGCGTACCACTGGATTCCTCAACTTCTTCAATAGAGACATGCAAGATTCAATAGTAGACTGGAAGTTAGGATGAGCATATTGGAAGAGTTCAATTACCTCAGTGGAGCCAATTTCGACTTCAATTGGAAGGGTTTGCTTCTCAAGGGCCAGAGTCAGTCCAGTGTGGAGAGCTTGCAGTTCCGCCATTACAAGGCTATAGGCATAGATTGCTTTGCTAAAACCAATAACCCAATTACCAACGAGTCTCTAATAACACCACCAATTCCACCCATGTGTTTTGTGTGGACGAAAGTCCCATCCGTATTTAACTTGAATACATTAGGAGCCGGGGGAAACCAGCGAACTGGGATTTCTTTTTTGATGTCTGTTGATAATGAGGAATTGGTCATGAAAATGTGTTATCTCCTGTATTAAGTTTAGCAAAAAACAGAAACAGAAAAAAAAGATGAAACAGACAGAAAAATATAATCCGAGTCCACAGAACCCACTGTGTTTGCTTAAGAAATTTAATCACCTCAAGTACCCGAGGTTACAGATTAATTTCTCCCAAGATAAAACGGATAAACTATTAGAGAAGTAGCGGTACCTCAAACTTCACTAATTTTAGCGAACGCAAGAACATTAACGAGAGCACACACCGACTCTGTCCATCGACAATTTATTTTTGTAAGAAAATGTATGTAGAGAGGAAAAAATTTCAGTAAATGAAAAATGAAAAAAACCTCTTATTTATAGCCATTTGCAGCAAGGAACACGTCTGTTAATTAACTAACATTTTGAATTAATTTATAAGAGAAAGGAAATTAATTAATGAGATTGATTAAATAAATTTTTTCCAAAAATATTATCAATCAATCATTTGCCAAATCCGAATCCGAAGCCGAAGTTGCGCGAGCAACGACGACAGCGCAAGGGGCACCTTCTTCTCAACCCTTTAAGAACTAAAGCAAGTGTTCCCTAATATAATGACAACAATTTTCCTTTCTTCTACTAATATGGGAGAAATGACTTTTCTTTTGCAATTTGCAATGCCTTTTCATTTTCCCTCCAAAATTGGTTCCCCCGCATTTCCATTTTCTCTTCTTATTTCCCATTCACACCTTGCTAAAACCCAACAATCGATCCCCCACATGAATTTGGAATGGCTATTGTTAAAACATATGCATGAAAAACTTGTATGTCTCGTAAGTAAGGGTTAATCGCATCTGGATAAGTAGGCTTCCCTTTAAACTTTCTGTAGTGAACATATATCGGATATACTCGTTCGTCGGTAGATTTGATATCTTTGAACCGTCGAGCTTTGGTGTATACCTAGACAACATAAGTCACACAATCAACCCTTGAACTATTTTTGGTTCTCATTGTTTTGTTCGTTTCAGCCATGAACACATCTCGGTTAATAAGTGCTTAGAGAACTGGCCTTACCGGATTCTCCTTGAAGCGGCTTACACTTCACACTTACATAGGTGGTTTCTAACTATTTTATCCCGTGATACATTATTTGATATACCATGTATCAAACTTAGAAACCATTAAAAAGTCCTTATGCCTTTATCCTGGTTACTAAACATTGTCTCATCATGAGAATGGACCATAAAATAAATTTTGACAATGTTGAACCGTCATCTATGACTTTATTTGATCTTCTTGAACATAGATCTTGGGATCTAGTCTTCTAGGTAAAGCTACCGCCACGATGACTTGTTCTCGGCCATAGTCCCATTCCCGTCGATGATCTCTCAACTCCCTCTCTAGTTAGGCCTTTTGTAAGAGGATCTGATACATTATCCTTTGACTTTACATAGTTAATTGTGATATTCCACTAGAGAGTAGTTGTCTAACAGAGTTGTGTCTTCGTTGTATGTGACGAGACTTCCCGTTATACATAACGCTTCCAGCCCTTCCTATTGCAGCTTGACTATCGCAGTGTATGCATATAGGGGCCATTGGTTTGGGCCAAAATGGAATATCTTCTAAGAAATTCTGGAGCCATTCAGCTTCTTCACCTGCCTTGTGTAAGGCGATGAATTCAGACTCCATTGTAGAGCGAGCTATGGATGTTTGTTTGGATGATTTACAAGATATTGCTCATCCACCAATAATGAAAACATATCCACTCATGGATTTCATTTTAGTTGAACCAGTAATCCAATTTGCATCACTATATCCTTCATGAACTACTGGATATTTGTTGTGATGCAAAGCATAGTTTTGAGTGTCATCTAAGTATCCCAAGGCTCTCTCCATTGCCATCCAATGATTTTGATTAGGATTACTTGTGTATCGACTCAATTTACTTATAGCGCAAGCTATGTCTGGTCGTGTACAATTCATGACATACACTAAACCTCCCAATACTCTGGCATATTCCAATTGAGATTGACTTTCACCTTTATTCTTAGCAAAATTAAGGTTCACATCAATTGGGGTTTATGCCCTTTTGAAATTCAAATACTTGAACTTTTCAAGTACCTTTTGAATAAAATGAGATTGAGACAATGCTAGATCGTTAAGAGTTTTATGAATCTTAATTCTCAATATCAAATCGGCAACTCCTAGATCTTTCATATCAAACTTACTAGCGAGCATACACTTAGTAGTTTTTACATTAACAATGTCCTTGCTCATTATCAGCATGTCATCCACATATAGACATACAATGACCTCCTAATTCGGAGTGTCTTTAATGTAGACGCATATATCACATTTACTGATCTTAAATCCATTTGACAACATGGTTTGATCAAACTTCGCATGCCATTGTTTCGATGCTTGTTTTAGTCCATAAAGTGACTTAACAAGTTTGCATACTTTCTTTTATTTACTAGGAACTACAAAGCCCTCAGGTTGTTCTATGTAAATCTCTTTCTCTAGCTCTCCATTTAAAAGACGGATTTCACATCCATTTGATGGATTTCAAGACCGTATACAGCAGCTAGGGCAATTAACATCCGAATTAATGTAATCCTAGTCACTGGCGAGTATGTGTCAAAAAAATAAAGACATTCTTTCTATCTAAAACCTTTGACAACAAGTCTTGCTTTAAATTTGTCAATAATTCCATCATCTTTCATCTTCCTTTTGAAGATCCATTTTGAACCCAAGGGTTTGTTCCCTGGAGGAAGATCAACCAACCCTCAGGTATGATTGCTTAAGATTGATTCAATCTCACTATTGACAGCCTCCTTCCAAGAGGTTGAGTCGCTAGACAACATAGCTTCCTTGAATGTTTGAGGCTCACTTTCAAGAAGGAATGTTACAAAATCAGATGCAAATGAAATAGCTGTCCTTTGACGTTTACTGCGCCTTGGACTCTCTTCATTAGGCTCATTTTCTTTTGGTTCTTCTCGAGGTCATTTAGAACCCCCCCCCCCCCACTAGATGACTCAAGTCTAGTTTTATACGGATAGATATGTTCAAAGAATTCAGCATTATCTGATTACATTACCGTATTGTCATGAATATCCAGGTGTTCAGACTTATGAACCAAAAATCAGCATGCCTTACTAGTTGTGGCATATCCAATCCACAGTTTTAGGTCCTATTTTCACCCTCTTAGGTATAGGAACCTGGACTTTGGCTAGACACCCCCACACTGAGAAATATTTCAAGTTGGGTTTTCTACCTTTCCATTTCTCATATGGAATAACATGTGTCTCGCTATGAGGCACTCTATTAAGTATTTGACTTCCTGTAAGGATAGCTTCCCCCCACAAGTTTTGTGGTGAACCTGAACTTATAAGTAAGGCATTCATCATTTCCTTTAAATTTTGGATTTTCCTTTCCGCAATTCTATTAGATTGAGGAGAGTAAGGAGCATTAGTTTGATGGATAATTCCATTTTCCAAACATATTTCTGCAAATGGAGATTCATATTCTCCACCTCTATCACTTCTGATCATTTTGATCTTTTTATCCAACTGATTTTCAACTTCAGTTTTATATTGCCTAAATGCATCTATTGCTTCATCCTTACCATTTAGCAAATAGACATAACAATATCTAGTCAATCGTCAATAAAAGTTATGAAATATTTTTTCCCACCACGTGTTGGTGTTGACTTAATGTCACAAATGTCCGTGTGAATCAGTTCTAAAGGATAGGAATTCCTTTCAACAGACTTATAAGGATGCTTAGCATACTTAGATTCAATGCAAACTTGGCATTTTGATTTATTACACTCAAATTTAGGCAAAATAATTAAGTTAATCAATTTTCGCAAGGTATTGTTATTAATGTGTCCCAAACGTTCATGCCATAAACATTTAGACTCAAGAAAGTAAGAAGAAGCATAATCTTTATTCATATCAACTGCAATTACATTAAGTTTGAAGAGGCCTCAGTGAGGTAACCTTTTCCTACATACATCTCATTCGTACTTACTACAACTTTATTAGAAACAAATACACATTTGAATCCATTCTTGGTAAGAACTGGTATAGAAACTAAGTTCTTTCGCAATTCTGGAACATACAAGACCCTGTTCAAAGTCACCACCTTGCCCGATGTCATCTTCAAGTGGACCTTGCCAGTTCCTTCAACCTTTGCAACAGCGGAGTTCACCATAAATAACTTCTCATCTGCTGGTGCTGGAGTATATGATGTAAATAATTCTTTGTTGGCACAAACATGGCATGAGGCACCAGAATCTATCCACCATACTCTTGGATTTCCAACCAAGTTGCATTCTAAAAGCATTGCACAGAGATCGTCCATCTCTTCTCTGGATTCAGCCAAATTTCCTTGATCCTTCTTCTTGTCCTTCTTGGGACCCTGACATTCAATAGCCCTATGACCATGTTTGCACAATTGAAGCAGTTTCCATTGAACTTCTTCTTATGAGGATTGCTCTTTGGACCCGATGCGTTCTTTCTTTTCTTTGATTTTGTGGGATCTTCTTCAACAATATTAACTCCAGATATTGTTGAATTGCCACGCGACCTTTTTTCTGCGGCTTTGTTATCCTCTTCGATTCTCAGCCTTACCATTAGATCTTCAACAGTCATCTCCTTGCGTTTATGTTTCAAGTAGTTTTTGAAGTCCTTCCACAACGGAGATAACTTCTCAATAATGGCCGCCACTTAAAAGGCATCATTCACAATCAATCTTACATTAAAGATTATGTGAGTATTAAGAATAGACTTAATATATTAAACATAGGCATTAAATAAATGTATACCTTCAACAAGGAGATCATGGATTATGACTTGCAGTTCTTGAACTTAGGTGACGACGGTCTTACTGTCTATCATCTTATAGTACAAAAACTTTGCCACAATGAACTTCTTCATTCCGACATCCTCTGCTTTGTACTTCTTTTCTAAAGCATCCCAGAGTTCTTTTGAGGTCTTGAGACTATTGTACACATTGTACAGATCATCTTGCAGGCCACTCAGAATATAATTTTTACACAAAAAATTTGAATGTGTACATGTTTCTGTCACAAAGAATCGTTCTTCAGCCGGAGTTTCATCCGACATAACAGGAACATTCTCATTAATGAACCTCTGCAGACTCAACGTAGTCAGATAGAAGAACATCTTCTGCTGCCATCTCTTGAAGTCGACACCAGAAAACTTTGCAGGTTTCTCAACCGGTGCAAGGGAAGCAGTTGAACGATTGTGTGCAACCGATGTTGTTGTAGCACTCACTGTTCCAACATTTACTTGACTTGAATTTGTCATTTTTCTGTCACAAATGGTAGACAATTTTAGTATGTGAAATACTAACAGTAAAGAATAAATCCATACACAGCCTGTTTCTGATTTAAGGATAAAGTTTTTATGTTCTTTTAATTGTTAATCGAATGAATTTTAAAATTTCAAACAGAGTAGAAAACCATAAAGGTTTTATTCTCCAGAAACCTCAAATACATAAACTATTAAATTTCTTAAGCTTGTTATCTCCTATATTAAGGTTAGCAAAAAACAGAAAAAAAAAAATGAAACAAACAGAAAAATAGAATCTGAGTCCATAGAACCCACTGTGTTTCCTTAAGAAATTTAATCCCCTCAAGTACCCGAGGTCATAGATTAATTCCTCCCAAGATAACCCGGATTAACTATTAGAGAAGTAGCGATACTTTAAACTTCACTAATTTCAGTGAAAGCAAGAACAGTAACGAGAGCACACACTGACTCTATCGATCGACAATTTATTTTTGTAAGAAATGTATGCAGAGAGGAAAAAATTTCAGAAGACGAAAAATGAAAAAGACCTCTTATTTATAGCCATTTGCAGCAAGGAACGCGTATGTTCGGACAATGGTGTCTTTCCAGAACGTTGTGTCTTTTTGGGAAAAGTAACACCTTTTCGGAAGGAACAGGTCCCTTCAGAACGTCTTTACTGTTACACGTGAATTTCAAATAAATTTTGTTACGCAAAATTAATTATGTTAATTAACTAACATTCTGAATTAATTTATAAGAGAAAGGAAATCAATTAATGAGATTAATTAAATAAATTTTGTCCAAAAATATTATCAATCAATCACTTGCCAAATCCAAATCCAAATTCGAAGCCGACCGAGCAACGACGCAAGGGGGCACCTTCTTCTTAACTTTTTAAGAACTAAAGAAGGTGTTTCCTAATATAAGGACAACAATTTTCCTTTCTTTTACCAATATGGGAGAAATGACTTTTCATTTGCAATGACTTTTCATTTTCCCTCCAAAATTGGTTCCCCCACATTTCAATCTTCTCTTCTTATTTCCCATTCACACCTTGCTAAAACCCAACAAAGTGAACTCTTTAGCTCTCATGAGAGTGAAGGGAAGAGAGATAGTAGGAGTGGACGAAGTGTTGGGACGAAAAACCTGTTGATTACGTTGCAACCAAATATGTCATAGCGCAAAGGGGTAGAAGTCTTTCCATTGCAGAGTTGTTGTGTCACGAAGGGGAACATCAAGGCCATGAATATTTTGCAACCAGTGAGTTGGAGTGTTGATAATATGATGCATTTTCAACCCTATGTCTAGCCAAAATTTCCTAACCAAAAAACAATCTAAGAGGATATGTTCAATAGTTTCTATAGCACTATGGCATAGAGGGAAAGTGGGATCAGTGATCATCCCTATGTGATGGAGGTACGCATGAGTAGGAAGTCTGTTATAAGAGCAAATCCAGAGAAAGAATTTGATCTTGTTGAGCGTGTTCAGCGACCAGATCCATTGGAAAGTATATTCTGCAGTATTTGTAGAATCTAGTAGACGGCGAGCTGATTTAGTAGAGAACATGCCATCAGATTGAAGGGACTAATAAGGGATGTCCCTAGTGTGATTTTTTAGCGTAACAGAATTGGCCTCATTAACAATGTCATCAGGAATGACTATAGAGAGTTTTCCCCAGTTCCACTTGTCTCGCTCCCAAATATTGGACACCTTAAGAGTATACTCGTTGCATTGTAAGGGTCCATGAATAAGGTTACGAAGGGGAGGAGTATGGGGGATCCAACTATGGTTCCATAGGTCTATGGGTTTGTCGGTGCCCGCTACCCAAGCTAACCCTTGTGCACACAGTTTCCCTCCTTTCAAAATATTCTGCCAGGTAAAAGAAGAGGATGAAATCAAGGTTTTAGAATTATATTTATTAAGGAGCGTACTAGCCCACATAGAGTTAGGGTTAGTGAGAAGTCTCCATGAGAGACTTGCAACGATGGAGAGGTTTTTATCAATAGCTTTTGAGAGGCCAAGCCCGTCTTTGTGTTTGGGCCTGGTTACCGTATCCCAACTAAGATAGTGTAATTTCCTCTTTTGGGTAGTAGATCCCCAAAAGAAGTCTCTTTGAATCTTGTCAATGTCCTTACAGATCTTTTTAGGCAAGATAAAGTATTGCATAGTATAAGCTGGAATAGCGTCAAGGGTCGATCTAATGAGGGTCAAACGACTAGCCTAGCTAAGGAAATTTAGCTTCTAATTAGAGAGTTTAGTCTTCATGTTATCGAGGATATGAATAAAGTTGGAGGATGAAGGGTTTTTATTGAGAATGGGGAAAACTAAATATTTTCTGAAGCTCTCAGCTTGAGTAATATTAAGTAATTGGCGGATAAAATTTCGAGTATCATCCCTGCATGATTTGGAATAGAAATCCTTAGATTTGAGGGAGTTAATTTTTTCTCCGGAAAGGCTACAAAAGGAGGATAGCACCCGATGAATGGTCTGAATGGTTTGGGGTTAGCTTGGACAATCAAAGTTAAGTCGTCTGCAAAAAATAAATGAAAGAAAGCAAGCCCATTCTTCAAGAGTTTAATACCCAGTTGAGGATATCAACTTGGTAATTAATATAATTGGATAATAAATTCATGCAAAGAATAAAAATGTATGGAGACACAGGGTCTCCTTGGCGGATTCCCCTGGAGGGGGAGAAATATTATGTTTTCGTACAATTCACTAGGAAAGTTATTCTGCTAGTAGTGATGCAGCTCATGATAAGGTTGATAATTTTCGGAGGAAATTTGAAATATAAAAGCGCCTGATAAACAAATGACCATTCTATGCGATCAAATGCCTTTCCAAGATCGATTTTAAGAATGAAGCTTCCTTTGGAGCTTTTAGTGCGGTTCAAGTGACGAAGAATTTCCTGTATAAGAATCGCATTATCACTAGCACGTCTTCCTTTAAGAAAACTAGTTTGTTGCAGACCACTGAGCTTATCCAGGAAGGGCTTAATACGATTAACAATGATTTTTGTGACCACTTTATAGATAGTATTGCATAGACCTATAGGCCTAAAAAAATTTAATTGATTAGCATTTTTGAACTTAGGGATCAGACATAACAAGGTGTCATTGAGGGGTGGAGTAATAGCCTCGGATTCAAAAATGTCGTGGCAGTACTTAAGAACCAAGTTTCCGACCATGTCCCAGTGCTTTTGATAGAAGATGGGGTGGAAACCATCGGGACTCGGAGCTTTGTAAGGCTTAAAGGAGAAGATAGCTTGGATCACTTCCTGATTTTGGAGGGATCTATACAGGGAAGAAATATCAATTTTATGGAAGCTTTTGGTGAAACCATAGACTCCCTGCAGATTTGAATAAACGTGATCTGACGCAAAGACTTGTTGAAACTAGGAGGAGGTGTGTTGGATAATTTGATTAGGATCATTAATCCAGTTTCCTAGATCATCCTTAAAGAAAGAGATCTTAATTCTTCTTCTCTGATTGATGACAGAAAGATGAAAAAACTTAGTGTTAGCATCGCCTTCGTTTAAGCCAGTTAATTCTAGAGCGGATTTTCCAATGATCTTCTTCGATCTTTAGCAGATTGTTGTAATCAATAATGAGATCTTGCTCTAATTGATGAAGAAAATTGCTATATGGGTGTTATGCCGTGATTTACTATCTTTTGAAAAATCACTTTTTGAAATGTTCTAAGTATAAACCAATTTGAGAAAAATACTTAGAGAAGAGTCGTCACTTAATTTTTAAAAGAAATTAAGAAAACTTAATTTTTTAAAGAAATTAGGAAAACTTAATTTAAAAAGAGACTCTAACAGATTAAGTTTTTATAAATTTAGAGAAAATGGGTAAGAGGTACTTATTTACGCTTCAAAAGGTTTTTAAGGTATTTGAAGCGCCCGCTAATATGCGGTTATCCAACGACTTAGATTAAATATTTTGACTATTTTTCAGAAAAATGATTATAAAAATGGCTTTTAATATTTACTTTAAAAAAAGTAGTTAAACAAAGATAATTTTTTATTTTTTAGAAAGGGGACCTTAATTAAAATATTTGAATTGAATTGCAAATGATTAGAATTTTTAGAAAAGAAAACTGGATTAATTAAAATTCATTTGTATTATTTCAAAGATAATAACTTAAGCCAATTGAATTAATTAAATCAAAGTGAAAATTTTGATTAAAATATTTAAGTATATAAACAATACAAGAGTTGATAAAATAAAATTTGTTGAAAACAGAACAACACAAAGAAGTGGTTCATCTTTTGAGAATTTTGGATTGAGTTAACCTTAAGATTAATTAGCAAATAAGCAAGTAAGAATTAAACAAATTAATCATATATTACTATAAGTGGGAACAAAAAAAGTTAAAAATTGAATTACGGTTTTACCACTACTATAAACTAAAATGTTATAAAAACATTTAACTATTTAATTTAAATATTAAATTGTATCATTTTAATAAAAATGTTAACGACTTTTGCACTTCCTTATATTAATTTCAAATTAAAATATCTAATTTAATAATAGTTATCATCTATAATCTATATGTATACTGAAATTTAAACATCATATCATATATCATATTATATATTATTATTATATTAACATCATATCATATATCATACTATATATTATTATTATATTATCATATTTCATATATTTATACTAAAAGTGGGAAGAATGTTAGACAAAAGTTAGATTATCATTTTGTCCATATATCAAATACAAATACTATTAATCATCTAATAAATTGTTAATTAAATATTAAATAGTAAATTTTAGTTACTATAAGGGAGAGATGTTGCAGATTAAGCCAATATCAAATTTATCAAATTCTTTCCGTTACAATTTATTCATGGTGTATGGTGAATTAATACTAAATTGTTATAAGTAATTATTATCAAGAAGACAAAAAGACTTCTAATTAAATTGTTCAATGAATTAAGGCGAAGACCAAAGGTTACATAATTAAGTAGGAAACTGATGGGCCTCTTTTATTTGTTCCTTTCATTTCCCCTCACCTAAGTTTTTACTATTTAAAGTCACCTAGAAAGGGAAATGAATTTACAAATCTCATGCCTGATCTTCTTACTAAAGTATGTTAATGTCATTCTCTTATAAATTAAGATCCTTTCTCATCTTTGGTATATCATTTCTTTCTTCTTTTTTGATTTCCTTTATGGTCATAGTCATAGACCGCAAAAGAAAAGTTGTCATCAATCTTTGTAGAAATGTTAAGGGCAATAACATTATTGTTGTATTTGGATCGGAGGCGTTATGGTTGATTGATTAATTAATTGTAAAGAATGTTTGGAATGAAATAATTTTTTTTATCATGTTGTATGAATTGCAACCAATATAATGAATTATTTGTACTATTTTATGTAAAGTGCTTATAGTGATGACCATTTGTAAATGATTTTTTGTATTAGTTTTAAATGTTCTTTTATAATGTATTATTTTCTTATTCCTTTTTAGTTAAATATGTTCTCTGATTATATAAAAAAAATGTGTCTAGATTACAACTAAATAGATACTACTTATTTAGACTTTATATAATTATTGGGGTGGAACATGTACACTATTATATTTCTTATTTCCAAATGAAATTAAAAATTATCTTAATGAAAGATTAGATATTTTATTATATGCCAACTCATTTGTGTTTTAACGAAATAAAATAATTAACTAAATTATAAACTAATTAATTTAAAGATATAAACTATTACTTAAACCAAACTAATTGACAAAATATTTAACTAAAACTAAAATCTTTTTGAGATAATTTCGAATATTCATAAAATATACTAATTATATACATGATTATTTAAAAATTATAAAAAGTGACAAAACTATTTAAAATATCTTGAAAAATATTTTGAATTTTATAAAGTTAATTATTTCAAATCGTTTGGAATTTAAGAAGCTCGATGATTAATATATATTGTGGAGGTCCAAAATTGGGTGTCAACAACTATCCCTCGTTTGACTTGGATTGATGAAAGAAATCTGAGGCAAATGAAATTGACAAATCCATTTTTGACTGTCCACATCTTCATCCTTCCCGGAAGGGATTTTGGTACGGGCTTTAGGAATTATGGCCGAACTCCAGAATCGGGTCGCCTACATATCTCAGGTTATATGAGAATTCAAGCCACTTGTAGTTCGATAAGCTTGATTTAACGCACCATTTTGAAAGAATTCAAAAGCTATCATGATATCGAATTATGAAGAGACAAGAATGCTTGGGAATAAGGTTTTAAGAGAGAATGTTGGAATACAACCGAGTTTTCAACATTCAAACAGCCTACATATCCCTCAACTTAGAGAATCAGGCTACTTATAGTTCGACTCGATCGGTTGAAAAAGGAAATCTCTTATGCTAAGATAGCCTTCGGTTGGGAAGAGTGACAAAGTAAGTCGAGTATGAAAAAGAGGTTTGCAACCTCTTAGTCATGAATGTGGTGCACTTCACACCCATTAAGAACTTACACGGACATATTTTCCAAAGCTCCTGGTGCATTGTCACTCGGATTGGGAAGATGCCTCCGGTGAACGCCTAAATTTTCCGAATACAAAACTGACACCGATAAACCTAAGAAAAACCCACATGCCTTCTGATAGGGGTGTGGTTTAATTGTGGTGGAAGTCTCTCCTCAGCTCGCGTCCTAAGAGTTTGGTATTCCTCTTTGGACTATGTCTTAGTTCGCTGCTAAGAAAAAGTTTCACATTGTCCGCACCTGTGGTTTGTTTTTGAGAATTCATCCTCTCTGATGCTCTCGACAAAGACTGAGATAAAATTCATTAGCATAAAAATGCAATTCAAATGGGGAGATAGTGTCTTTTACCGTGTTGACACTTAATTACTCTCCTTGAACATTTGACATCACCTTCTCCCAATTTGGCGTAGAGCAAATAAGCTTGTATTTCGTTTGCAAAATACTATTCAATGTACTCTTCTTTTGATGTCGAAGTAATAAAATAGGTGTATGTAATATGTTGATAGTTCTCTTGACGTCATTGTTGATGGTTCTCCTGATGTTGTTCTTGCAATGAAAATGATGCAGCTGATGTTGATTTTCTTGCGATGCACAAATTCTCCCGCGATGCATGAAGATAATGTTTCCTTGAAAAATATAGGTGATGTTTCCTCGAAAACCGTAGTTGAGGATGACTTTTCCGGCGATGCATGACTTCTTTCCCGTGATGCATGAATTTTTATTTTTTTTATTTTTGCCTGCGATGCATGAATCTTTTCTAGCGATCCATGACTTCTCCCGCGATGCATGAATCTTTTCCCCGCAATGCATGACTTTTCCCACGATGCATGAATCTTTCCCGCGATGCATGAATCTTTTCCCACTATGCATGAATCTTTCCCGCGATGCATGACTTTTCCCGTGATGCATGGCTCTTTCTCTTGCTATGCATGAGTTCTTCCTCTTGCTGTGCATGAAGATAGTGATGATGCCTCCGATATCAAACGAAGATAATGTTTCACCGAACAATGTAGGTGATCTTCTATGTATCTTATGGTGGCGGCCTTGTCTTTTTGACAATACAATAAAAATGACCCTCGAAGTAGTGGTATCGTCTCATTTGACAATACGATATATATGACTCTTCGGATAGGAATATTATCATATCTGAAAATATGATGCAGATTACTTCCTCTGAGTATTTTTAGTTGTTGGAAAACAATATAATTTCTCTCTTCGGGGATTCCATTTGCTTCATCTTCGAACATAATCGTGTGTTCATTATGGACCTTGCTTTGCAGAGAATTTGAATGAAATAATGTTACTCATATCCCCGATTCTTTGGTATAAGAAGCTTAAAACTTTTCCTGCATCCATAGAAAAATTATCAATTTCGGGGAGCTCCTCGCCTTTTGACTTCTCCATGTTCGTTGAATGGAGGAATATGATGATCTTGAGGCAAACTTATAGACCTGCATCCACAGAAAAATTGTTAGTTTAAAGTGAATTGATCTGTGTCGTTTCCTTTGGTTGTCTGCTCCTTGTCTGGTTATCTCCGGTTGATTTCTCCAATCTCCCATTTCTTGGTAGATAAGACAAGACATTTGTATGCAAAAATAATTGAAACACAAAAGAAGAGTTTTATGGAAAATAGATTTTCATAAAGTAATATTTGGAAAAGGTCAATGTCAAGTGTCATGTCACGTCAAGCTTAGTGAACGTCTTTGAAGTTGATGCCTCGAGACCTATCTGATTACTTGTTGGGAAGTATTCAAAATTGTTCTAAATTGCCGATGAACCTTATTGAAATTTATGAGGTCATCCTCAAAAAAAATTGTCCCAGCTAACTGTCTTGGCGTATCTTGAACTATTGGTGAGCAAATCACAGAATTTTTGAGATCTTCTCAAAAAATTCTGTCTCAGTTACAATTCTCAACGTTGCTTTAGTCTTGACTTGTTGGAGAGATCTTCTTCTTGAGAATTTTTGAGTTCCTCTCAAAAATTATGTCCTGGTTTCTATTATAAAGGAAAACAAATAGAAATCTTATGGGAGATATGACCGGGCCGTTATGGCGCATACGTATCCCGTTGAGGTAGGAATCAAGTCAAACGTAGTTCTCCTCTCGAGGATTAAAAAATATGAAATTTTGATAAGGAAACGATTGAGGCTGACATAGACCGCCTACGTATCTCATTCTTAAGAATTCAGGTCAAACGTAGTTCATTACTAGGATATTAAAACTTGACATAAGCAATTACAAGCAAATGATACGATTACAAGGAAAGTGATGAGAGAAAAACTAATTTTCAGACTTAGTATCTCTTGACAGCATTTGAGTTGATTGGTTTTGGCCACTCCTGGCCATCCATCTCCGACAGGATCAAGGCACCTCCAGATAACACTTTACGAACCATGTATGGTCCTTGCCAATTTGATGCAAATTTTCCCTTATACTCATTTTGATAGGGGAAGATGCGTTTGAGGACCAATTGTCCTTCTTCGAATGTTCGAGATCTCATTTTTTTGTTCAAAGTACGAATCATTCTCTGTTGATACAATTGGCCATGACAAACAGCAATCATTCTCTTCTCATCAATCAATGTTAACTGATCAATCCACTTGCGAACCTAATCAGGATTACTCAATTCAGCTTCTTGGATTGTTCTCAGTGAAGGTATCTCAACTTCGGTAGGTATAACTGCTTCTGTTCCATATACCAACAAGTATGGAGTAGCTCCTATTGGCGTTATGATTGTCGTTCTGTATCCCAACAAAACATATGGCAACATCTCATGCCAACCTCTGTGATTGTCAATCATTTCCTCAGAATCTTCTTTATGTTTTTGTTGGCAGCTTCTACAGCTTCATTCATTTGGGGACGATAAGCGGTTGAGTTTCGATGAGTAATCTTGAATTGTTCGCATATCTCTCTTATCAAATGACTGTTGAGATTTGCTCCATTATCAGTAATGATGGATTCAGATACTCCAAATCTACATATCAGATTGTTACGGACGAAATCAGTTACAACTTTCTTGGTCACCGACTTATAGGAAGCTGCTTCCACCCAATTGGTAAAGTAGTCAATGGCAACCAAAATGAATCTGTGTCCGTTAGAGGCGGTTGGCTCTATTGGAACGATGACATCCATTACCCAAACTACAAACAACCAAGGTGAACTCATAGCATTGAGTTCATGAGGTGGCACTCGAATCAAATCACCATCCACTTGACATTTATGACATTTCTGCACAAACTTGCAACAATCATGCTCCACAATCATCCAAAAATAACCAGCTCGGAGGAACTTCCTAGCCAAAGTGAGTCCATTCATGTGAGAACCGCAAACTCTAACATGTATATGTTCCAGAAGCTTCGCAGCTTCACTAGCATTAACACATCTGAGAAGACCTAAATTTGGAGTCCTCCTATAAAGGATTTCCCCACTTGTAAAGAAATTGTTAGCCATACGGCGTATTGATTTCTTCTAGTTAAACGTTGCATTCTCAGAATAAGTCCAGTCTTGAAATACTTATTTATGTCAAAGTACCAAGGCAAACCATCTAGCTCTACTTCAACATGTGAACAATGAACAGGCTGCTCTTTTACCTCTATATCCAAATGATCAATGTAACTTGTATATGGATCTTTAATCATTGATGTGATAGTGCCAACTTTCCGGTTGGCATTGCTTTCTGAAAAAATATACTTCAATGGGTCCATTCTGGAGATAAGATATGTGGTATACGAAGATAAATAATGTCTCAACTTCTGAGCAATCCAGGTCAAAGCATAACATGTCCTCTCCAAAATAGTGTAACGGGCCTCATATAAAGTGAATTTCTTGCTCAAGTAGTAGATGGCTCGCTCCTTCTTCCCAGTTTCTTCATATTGACCGAGCACCCATCCAAATGCGTTATCCGAGACGGAAAAATATAGCAACAATGAACTTCTTTCTCGTGGAGGGACCAACACCAGCGGATTGGACAAATAATTCTTGATGGCATCAAAAGCAGTTTGACATTCTCCAGTACACTTGGTCAAGGCATCTTTTTTCAACAACTTAAACATGGGATCACACACCACGGTAGATTCGGCTATCAACCGGCTGATGTAGCTCAACCTTCCCAGGAAACTCATCGCCTCTTTCTTGGTCTTCGGAGGAGGTAACTCTTGAATCATTTTGATCTTGGAAGGGTCACGCTCAATGCCCCTTCTACTGACTATAAATCCCAATAACTTGCTAGCTAGCACTCCAAAAGCACATTTGGCGGGATTTAGCTTCAAATTGTAACGACGCAGTTGATCAAAGAATTTCCTCAAGTGAGTCAAGTGATCCAAACTCTTGCAGGATTTGATTATGACATCATCTACATACACCTCAATATCTTTGTGAATCATGTCATGAAAGATAGTTGTCAAAGCCCTCATATAAGTAGCAACGACGTTCTTGAGACCAAAAGGCATCACCCGATAATGATATACACCCCAAGGCGTAATAAAGGTTGTCTTTTCCACATCTTGTTCATCCATCAGGATATGGTGATAACCCACATAACAATCTACAAACAACTGCACCTCATGTTTAGCACAGTTATCAATGAGAATATGAATGTTCGGCAATGGAAAGTTATCATTGGGGCTAGCTTTGTTGAGATCTCTGTAGTCGACACAAATTCTGATCTATCCATCTTTCTTGGCCACTGGAACAACATTGGCTAACCAAGTGGGATATTGTGTCACTTCCACCACTCTAGACTCAATCTGCTTGGTAATCTCTTCTTTGATCTTCAAACACAGCTCTGGCTTGATTTTACTGGTTTTCTGCTTTATCGGACTGAAATCTGGATTGATCGACAATTTATGAGAAACCATGTTCGTACTTAGCCCTGGCATATCTCTATAAGACCAGGCAAATACGTCGATGTATTCTCTGAGCAAACGAATCAGGTCCCTTCTTTGAGCTTCAGTCAGATGGACGTTGATTCTTACTTCTTTAACACAATCCTCATCCCCTAGATTCACAATCTCAGTTTCTTCCAAATTTTGTTTGTGTTGATTCTCAAATTGTCGGAACTGTTCATCAACATGGTCAGATACCTCATTTTCTTCTTCATATTCCTCGCATTCATCATCACCTGCTTTATTTTGTTCGTTCGACTCGTGACATGACAAGAAATTGATAGGTTTTAAATTATTATTACTTAAATCATAAACAGACAAAGTTAGGAAAGTAAACGTAAACAGATAAATAAATAAATAGGATTTTGATAAGGGAGGCTATTCATTTAAGTTGACAAATTGGGAACAAACTTTGGTCATGACCAAGGGTCATATAGCCTTTTTGAAACATAGGGAATTCAAAGACTTAAAACAAGTAAAATATGCATAAAGGTAGGTCTCGGGCCTTTTTCGGACTACCACCGAATTTTCAAAACAAACACAAACACATGTCTTTTCTACCACGCTGCACGGGGAATTAGGAGCAGTGTGGAGGTCCAATTCTGACACTGTTCTGCTGGCTCAGCATCACGAATAGTTGATGTCCCAGCTTCTTCCTCGATGACCGCATCAATCTCCTCAAAAAGGCCCCAAATTCCTTCCCCGAGACCACCATCATTGACATATTCTCGCACCCAGAATGACTGGTACAAATGAGAAATTGGCCTAACCAATGCTTGATCAACACCCTTGTTCAACACCTCTGCTTCATCATCATATGTGGATACATACCAACCAAACTTTGTTCATTTGCCGGGAATTTGAATAGACTCGACAATTCCTTGAAAATGTTTCCCCAATCCAAAACCTGGTTCGAAACCACTCTGGAGCATAACAGTAGCTATCATCTTGTACACATAAGGCATAGGGGGCTGAGGAGCCAAATCATCACCGGTGGCATTTACTAGCTCCACCGTGTAGAAATAAAAACCTCGAAAGACATCATCAACAATCGACACATATCCATTAGAATGGCTCCCTTCACCATGAATGACCAATTCCTGGTCCTTCCAAACAATTTTCATCAATTGGTGAAGAGTAGAAGGTACAGCCCCAGTCATGTGGATAAATGGTCTTCCCAGAAGCAAATTATAACTAGTATTGATATCCAACACTTGAAACTCCACATTAAATTATGCAGGACCCATCTGAATATCCAAGTTTACTGCACCCAACGTGTCTCTTTTCACTCCATCGAAAGCCCTAACATTGACTTGGTTTCGATGAACCTTTCTCAAGTCGAAGTTAAGCTACTTAAGAGTCAAAAACGGGCAAATATTGCGACCAGATTCGTCATTGACCAAGATGCGATTTATAACCTTGTCTCACCACATAATGGTAATGTACAGAGCTTTGTTATGCATCCTACCTTCAAAGGGCAGCTCTTCGTCACAAAAATTGGTGTGGTATCCTCGAATGACTTGGTTTATCATGGCCACCAGATTATTACTGTTAGTACTCATGGGCACAAAGGTATCCAAAGCCTTCATCAAAGCATGCCTATGCAGTTGTGAACTCATCATTAAGGCTCACACCAAAATTTGAGCTGGTGTTTTCTCCAGATGCTTCACGATCGAGTAATCTTTTGGTTGAATCTTTCTCCAGAACTCTTCTGCTTCAACTTCACTAATTGGCCTTTTAGATTGATCATTCTTCTGTGCTCCCTGAGCTAACTCTTCTGGTGTGTAACATCTGTCGGATCAAGTCATACCCTGGGTAGCAGCCGTATCAATCACAAACCTTGGTCCGGCAGGAGTTTCTCTTGGCACCAAGGCAATAGCCTTCTTGGGTGTCAGAATCACAAACTCTTTCTTCCCTCTAATGCACAACGAAGCTACAACAATTTCCAGTTTGTTAGGAGCGATCGGAACTATTACCTTTGTCACGCACCAATCATCATCTATCTCTATCATATTGATAGTGACGCCTCCATGATTTGGCAATGGATTTCTATTGACATTGGGCGCGACTGCCTAGAGAGAGACCATTTTTTGGTCGATCAGATCTTGGATTTTGTGCTTTAGGTTGATACAGTCTTCGGTATCATGTCCAACATCGTTGGAGTGATATGCGCACCTCTGGTCAGGTCTGTAAGACCTTGAGCGAGTGTCAACAGGCTTGGGCCCCACTGGATGCATAAAAACTTTCACAGTCAATCGTTCGAATAACTTTGTTCAGCTTTCAATGAGCGAAGTGAAATTCCTAGAGGGCTTCTTCTCAAACCTTGGACGAGGATCGTAATTTCCTTTTTGAGGGGGAGGCATTTGACGATAATCTGGGGCATTGTGGTGGGGGGATTGATATCTTGGTTAGGAATTGGTTTGGTAATTTGGTTGTGGATTTTGGAAATTTGGAAGGGTATTGTGGTAGTATGGGGGTGGGGTTTGATATACTGGAGGAGGAGTTTGGTAGTTTGTTTGGACATTCTCACAGTTTGGGGAGACATTTCGATAATGAGAGGGTGGAGTTTGGTTTGTATAACAAGTCGGGTATGAACTCTATGAAGGTCGAGAACGACCTTGGTACGATGAGTATTTCTTTGGGGTCTTTTCCCCCTCATAAGAGATAGAAGACACGTCTTCTCTTTCCTTCTTCAACAAACCCAAGGATCCGAGCGAGACGGCAACATGGGCAATCTTCTTGATTCTTAATCCGTATTCGATAGCCTCACCTACTTTGACTATCTCAGAAAACTTTGCTCCTATGAGCAACATGATTCTATCATAATATCGAGCTCTTGAACCCACACAAATACTTCGACAATTTCTTTCTCAAACATAGGAGGCCGAACTCTAGCTGCCTCTTTTCTCCATCTGTA